GACCAGGGGTGCTCGTCGGTTGCAGCTGACTGGGCTTGTCGACAAGTGGGCCGTCGACGAGGAGGAGCAGTTCGACGGGAGGTCGACCGAGCAGTCCGTCGACCTGACATGCGAATAGCTGTCGACGTGGGGAGCTCGGCAACAGCAGCTTCAGTGCTGGTAGACAGAGGGATCTGCTGACCAGGATGTGGCTCGTTGGAAGCTGTGGTCGACAAGGGAGTCGTCGACCAAAGCTCTAGGTGGTCGACGAGCACGTACAACTTCTGGTCGACTTTCTCCGAACAAGTCGACACTGACCTGGTGGGTCCACGTCGACCAGGTAACACCTTCTCGACAAGTTCTGCAAAGGCACGCAAACGTTTTCAAGGTCGCGATGGCGAAGGCAACTTTGGGCTGGTATCCCGAAGTCGATGTGGCTCGTCAGGCGGAGACAACGGCCGACAGATACACAACAAGGCGAGTCGGGCTAATTGTCTGCACGCAATTGCGAGCGTGCGCATTGCTGTATTCTATGGGTGCAACGCTGGACAGCCGCACTGCTGAAGTATTGGCACACCGTCGACCTACTGTGTTGGCAGGTCGCCCTTCTGCAGTGTTGGCGCGGCTCCTCTACGCAACGCTGGCAGGCGGTTGACCATGCAGTGCTGGCGGTCGACCAGGCTAGGTGCAAGGTTGCTAGGTGCCTGATGTTGTCATTTTTGTTATTGCTTGTTCAATTAGGGCGGGTCAAACTTTGCACATATACGATGAATTCTCAGCTCGGTTACCAAAAATTTGCATGTAACAGAACTTCCTACCAAAAAGTAGGAAGGGTCTTCAAGCGTGGGAAGCGACGAGAGGCTGTAGTGTCGTCAGCAGCACGTTCACCCCCCTTAGCCGGGCCAGAGGAGACCTCCAAAGGCTCAACTAAGGGGGGTGGTGTGAACCGAGACACACCTGAGGGAGCAGGACGCGAGAGTGAGGGTATACCGGGGGGTAACCTAGAACCAGGAAGAGTGGCGGCGGGGGGATAAGAGAAGACACGTGGGAGAGGAGACGGTAGTAGCAAACCGGCTCATCAAAGGTGACGTCTTGGGAGGACAGCACATGATGCGTAGATGGGTGGTAGAACTACCAGCCAGGCACGTCAGTAGGAAAGCCAAGGAAGACTCAGCAAACAGTGCGAGAAGAGAGCTTGTCCACAGTGGTATTGCGGACATAGGCATACAAACCCCAGACCCGAAATGCTGACGCATCACGAACCTTCCCCGTCCAACACAGTGTAGGCGAGGTCTCTGGCTCGGAGACACAGCGCCAGAAAATGGGCACAGAGCAGGTGTCGGCAGGCGGGATTGCGCCGGCGTTTGGCTACTTCAAGTTTTTGCCGGACCGGATCGCCGTCACACCTCTACAAGGTCGAGGGGACCTCATCACCTGGAGGGAGTCGATAGAACCTCAGCTGGAGGTCGCCGGGCTGAAGGGCCTCGTCGACGGCACCGTGCCCATTCCGCCCGAGGAAGACGTCGAGCTGCGTGGGGAGTTTCGTGCTGATCACTTGCTCATCTTCATGGTCATCTCGAGGTGCTGCTCGTCGGTGGTGCAGCTAGCGCTCAGGTCCTGACGAGAGCGATTGGATGCCGGTCATCAATCATGGCACTTCATCTTGTTGACGTACCAGGTAAAGGGCGACATGTACATCGCACAGCTGGAAGAGAAGATGACACACATTTGGATGGGCGAGTAGGAGTCGGCGACGGACTACTACAACCGTGCTCAACGGATCCTGGCTGAGATGCGGATGGCGGGCGCCCAATACTCTACGGCATCCTACATCACCCACGTCCTCAAGGGCCTGCTGCGCAGCTACAACCTCATGAAGAGAATGACGATGGTGCCCGGCACACGTGAGTCCCTCGACGAGGACTCCTTCACCAGCTACATCCTCCATGATGAGGTGATGCAGGAGGCAGAACAACCCACAGAGCTCCTTCCGCTGGCGAGTCACGCTGCACCGACGAAGCCAAATCATCAGCAGGAGCAGCGCGGGAAGCCGAGCGGAGGTGGTAGCGGAGGTGGGTGGTCGATGAAGGACGTCGACAAGAAGAGGTCAACGCGGGGCAAGGGCCTGGAGGTGCTGGTCGGCGGTGGGATTTCTGGATCTGCCACGACCCCGACCATCTCTCCTACGAATGCCCCGAATGCGACGACAGCGACGAGGATGACAACAAGGGAGGCTGCGACCGATCGGCCAGTCGTCGCCCCCGTCGAAATGCATAGCCGCACAAGGAGAAGCATACGTCGAAGACAGCGTCGTCAACGAAGGACGTCAACAACTTCAGCGGCAAGGGCCGAGGCGATGGGGAGCCGTCGTGCTCGATGGTCGGAGTGGTGGAGCCGACACTTTCGCTGGCGCCGGAGGCTGGCAAGGACTTCCGAGCGGTGGCCACAGCTGTGCAAGCCAACCCGATGGCGGTGCTGCTCGACACCGGTTGCTCCCACCACCTGATGGGGATGAAGGCGGTCTTCGTCGACATGGCGCCGAGCGTGTCAGAATGTTATATTTGTCTAGTCTGCAGTGGGGTACTCTATACTGAGTACAGCCCTGCTAGGGTTTGCTATATGTATCCCATTGCTTGCTAGTGAAAACCCTCTTTTACTGTTCTCTTCCTACTTGCTATTTTGACATGCTATCAGAGCGTCTACGCTCCTGGCCTGTGGGTCCACCTGCTTTCGCTGCTGTACTGTCTGTTGCGCGCCCCGTGGCGCGCGCTGTTTTTTCTTCCCGCCACGCGCTCGGGGCGCATGGCGGTTTTCTGCCCGGCACGCGCTCGGGGCGCGTGGGGCGCGCGGCGGTTTTCTGCTCGGTGTGTCGCCCCACCTGACCCGCGCCCCGCCCCCTGGGACCCGCGCGTCGCCCCTGCTGGACCCGCGCAACGCCCTGCGGGACCCGCGCGCCGCCCCCGTTGGATCCGCACGACGCCCTGCGGGGCTCGCGCGCTGCCCCACTGGACCTGCGCGACGCCCTGCGGGACCCGCGCACCGCCCCTACTGGACCCGCGCGCTGCCCCGCTGGACCCGCGCGCCGCCCCTGGAGACCCGCGCGCCGCCCCTCCTGGACCCGCCTGCCGCCCGCGCCCTACCCGTTGCGAGCGCCCCACAGCCCGCCCGCGCCCTGTACGTCGCGACGCCGCCCGCCCTCCCCCCTCCTCCTTCGACTTCCTGCTACGCGTGCAGCCGTATGGAGGGTGTGGGGGTGGCGGGGGTAAGACGGGGTATGGGGGTGGTGGGAGTGCGTGACCACCTGCCCCTCCTCCTCCTCCGTCTCCTATTGCTGCAGGTGCCGCTGAGGGGGGTGGGTGTGTGGGAGCCGAGGGAGTGGCGCTAGGGGGGTGTCGTAGAAGTGGAGCTAGGGGTGCAGCAAGGGGTGTTGAAAGGGGTGTGGGACACTTGAGGGAGGTTGAGCGGAGGTAGCCGTCGTGACCACAGCAACGCCAGTAGTCCGGGGCCCTTACTCCGATAGCCCAGCGAGCCTGCTGCGCTAGTCGCCCGTGGGTCCGTAGCTCCTGCCGCTCGTCTTAGCCGCGGAGCCTGTTACTCGTGTAGTCCGGGGCCTTTGCTCTGGTAGCCACCGTGCGCGCCGCTCCTGTTGCCCGTGTGTCTGCGGCTTCACTCGTCGCCTCCTATCTCCACTCCTCTCACATTCCCTCCTCCTGCTCACTTGCCCTCTGTGACCGCCTCTAGCTTTGCTTGTGCTTGTGAACTTCTTATGCGAGGCGATATAGACATGGAGAGATATGTGAGGCGATATAGACATGGAGAGATATGTGAGGCAATATAGACATGGAGAGATATGTGAGGCGATATAGACATGGAGAGATATGAGAGGCGATATAGACATGGAGAGATATGAGAGGCGATATAGACATGAAGAGATATGAGAGGCGATATAGACATGGAGAGATATGAGAGGCGATATAGACATGGAGAGACATGAGAGGCGATATAGACATGGAGAGATATGTGAGGCGATATAGACATGGAGAGATATGTGAGGCGATATAGACATGGAGAGATATGTGAGGCGATATAGACATGGAGAGATATGAGAGGCGATATAGACATGGAGAGATATGAGAGGCGATATAGACATGGAGGGATATGAGAGGCGATATGGACATGGAGAGATATGAGAGGCGATATAGACATGGAGAGATATGAGAGGCGATATAGACATGGAGAGATATGTGAGGCGATATAGACATGGAGAGATATGTGAGGCGATTGAGACATGGAAGAACAAAGGGTTGGCATAGCATAGCTTTGCAGAAAGGGTTGAGAAGAGGAACAAGGCAGGTGCAGAGATAAGAGAGTGCATTGAAGAGGGTTGAGAGGAGAAAAAGGGCAGGTGCAGAGGTAAGAGAGTGCATTGAGGAGTGGAGAGGTGGAGGGCGGAAGTGGAGAGGTGGAGGGCGGGAGTGGAGAGGTGGAGGGCGGGAGTGGAGAGGTGGAGGGCGGGAGTGGAGAGGTGGAGGGCGGGAGTGTATGAGTTTGGCGCAGCTGGTCAGGAAACGCAACACCAGAGTCCTGGTTTCCCTGTCTGTACTCCACCTCAGCCGTTCCTCCCCAGTAAAACATCTCGCCTGTTCTTAACAAAAAAAAAGGGACCAACTAACAAGCAAAAAAATAGGACTAGGTAAAAACAGCCTTGCCTGAACCTGAAACAGGTAGTGAAACACTACCGGGCTTGGGGGGAGTAACACTGGTCTTTTCACCCTAGCACCTTCCCCTCCACCACACTGCACTGCATCTCACTCACCTGCCCCTTGAACAGCACAAAGATAGTGAGAACGCTGTTGGGGAATGCAACAGTGGTGTCCTTCCATCCCCTTTCATGCTCTGGTACGGCCCTGGCTGGCCCTGTGAAGCAGCTGGGCTTGACAGGGGAGGAGGGCGCGAGCGAACATGAGGCGTTGATTAGCCCGCCAGAGTCGATCGGACGGCGGGAGATGGGGCGGTGCTGTATGAGGTGGAGGTGGATGGGGTGCGTCTCGAATGTCGGGTTGATGATGTGCCAAAGCTCTGATGTGCCCTGAAAAAAGGAGATTTGAAAAAAGGAGATCTGAAAAAAGGAGATTTGAAAAAAGGAGATTTGAAAAAAGGAGATTTGAAAAAAAGAGATTTGAAAAAAGGGAATTCGAAAGGCAAATGCCAAAACGCACAACAAATGAACTCTAAGCAGAATCTACTGGTGCAATTCCGAGGGAGAAGGAGAGTTAGCACAATCCTGGCTTGCGAGCATAAAGTGTCAGAATATATTTGCTGTCTAGCCTGCAGTGGGGTACTCTGTAATGAGTACAACCCAATTTAGGGCAATGTACTTGTATCCCAACTCTTGCTAGTCACTCCCCTTCCCTTCCAATTTCTCGACTCTCACCTAACCCACTCGAACTTACCTATCTCCTAGTGTGGGCCTAGGCTACTAAGCCTAGGCCCCACACCTAATATTTTCACATGTTATCAGAGCCCGTTCTACCTTGGCCTGTGGGCCCCTATGCTTCCGCTGCAGTCCTTCTTCCTGCCGTGCGCTCGGGGCGCGCGGCGGTTTTCCCGTCCTTCGAAGCGCCCTTGGGGGGCCTGCGCGCTGCCCTCCCCGCTGCTCGTCGCGACGCCCGTGCGGGACCCGCGCGGCGTCACCCTGCTCGTCGCGACGTCCGTGCGGGACCCGCGGGGCGTCTCCCCTGCTCGTCGCGACGTCCGTGCGGGACCCGCGCGGCGCCGCCCTACTTGTCGCGACGTCCGTGCGGGACCCGCGGGGCGTCGCCCCTGCTCGTCGCGACGTCCGTGCGGGACCCGCGGGGCGTCGCCCCTGCTCGTCGCGACGCCCCATGCGGGACCCGCGGGGCGCCGTCAGTTCCTGCAGCAGCAGCCGCCGCCGCCCTGCAGCAGCAGCCGCCGCCAGGCCTACAGCAGCAGCCGCCGCCAGGGTCTGCAGCAGCAGCCGCCGCCAGAGCCTGCTGCAGCAGCCGCCGCCAGGGTCTTCAGCAGCAGCCGCCGCCAGGGTCTGCAGCAGCAGCCGCCGCCAGAGCCTGCAGCAGCAGCCGCCGCCAGAGCCTGCAGCAGCAGCCGCCGCCAGAGTCTACAGCAGCAGCCGCCGCCAGAGTCTGCAGCAGCAGCCGCCGCCAGACCTGCAGCAGCTGCCGCCACCGACCCAGCAGCAGCAGCCGCCGCTCTATCAGCAGCAGCAGCCGCCGCCGCTCTGCCGCAGCAGCTACCGCCGCCCAGCTGCAGGTGCCGCCCCTGGACCCCAGAAGCCGCCCCTGGACCCGGTACGCCTTGTGCTGCCCGTGCCTGTGCTGCCCGTGCCTGTGCTGCCCGTGCCTGTGCTGCCTGTGCCTGTTGCTGCCCGTGCCTGTTGCTGCCCGTGCCTGTGCTGCCCGTGCCTGTGCTGCCCGTGCCTGTGCTGCCCGTGCCTGTGCTGCCCGTGCCTGTGCTGCCCGTGCCTGTTGCTGCCCGTGCCTGTGCTGCCCGTGCCCTGTGCTGCCCGTGCCTGTTGCTGCCCGTGCCTGTGCTGCCCGTGCCTGTGCTGCCCGTGCCTGTGCTGCCCGTGCCTGTTGCTGCCCGTGCCTGTGCTGCCCGTGCCTGTGCTGCCCGTGCCTGTGCTGCCCGTGCCTGTTGCTGCCCGTGCCTGTGCTGCCCGTGCCTGTGCTGCCCGTGCCTGTGCTGCCCGTGCCTGTGCTGCCCGTGCCTGTGCTGCCCGTGCCTGTTGCTGCCCGTGCCTGTGCTGCCCGTGCCTGTTGCTGCCCGTGCCTGTGCTGCCCGTGCCTGTGCTGCCCGTGCCTGTGCTGCCCGTGCCTGTTGCTGCCCGTGCTTCTGCTGCCCGTGCCTGTGCTGCCCGTGCCTGTGCTGCCCGTGCCTGTGCTGCCTGTGCCTGTTGCTGCCCGTGCCTGTGCTGCCCGTGCCTGTGCTGCCCGTGCCTGTTGCTGCCCGTGCCTGTGCTGCCCGTGCCTGTTGCTGCCCGTGCCTGTGCTGCCCGTGCCTGTGCTGCCCGTGCCTGTGCTGCCCGTGCCCGTGCTGCCCGTGCCTGTTGCTGCCCGTGCCTGTGCTGCCCGTGCCTGTGCTGCCCGTGCCTGTGTTGCCCGTGCCTGTGCTGCCTGTGCCTATTGCTGCCTGTGCCTGTGCTGCCCGTGCCCGTGCTGCCCGTGCCTGTTGCTGCCCGTGCCTGTGCTGCCCGTGCCTGTGCTGCCCGTGCCTGTGCTGCCCGTGCCTGTGCTGCCTGTGCCTGTTGCTGCCCGTGCCTGTGCTGCCCGTGCCTGTGCTGCCCGTGCCTGTGCTGCCCGTGCCTGTTGCTGCCCGTGTCTCGTGCTCGCGCCCCCGTGCGCTCTGCTACTGTCTGCGCCCTCGTGCGCACTGTCCCCCCCCCCCCCCCCCCCCGTTTGCGGGTGTGGGGGTGCTCCGTTTGTGTCGCCCCTTCCTTCTCCTCCTCCGTCGTCTCCCACTGCTGCAGCTGTCGCTGAGGGGGGTGGTTGTGTGGGAGACTGGGGTTTAGGGTTTAAGGGGGGTGCGTGGGAGTGGAGCTAGGGGTGTAGCAGCGGGTGTGTGTCAGGGGGGTGGGACTGTTTGTGGCAGGTTGAGCGGAGGCTGCCGTCTTGTAGTCCGCAGCACCTGTAGTCCGGGGCGCTGTCCTGGTAGCCCAGTGAGCCTGCTGCGCCTGTCGCCCGTGGGTCCGTTGCTCCTGCCGCTCTTCGTAGCCGCCGAGCCAGTTACTCCAGTAGTCCGGGGCGCTGTCCCGGTAGCCACTGTGCCAGCCGCTCCTGTTGCCCGTGTGTCTGCAGCTTCAGCAGTCGCCTCCCATCTCCTCTCCTCTCACTCTCCCTCCTCCTCCTCACCTGCCCGTTGTGACCACCACTAGCTTTGCTGATAATTGTGCACTTTAACTATTGCTTCTTGAACTTGTGCTCAGAATGTGTGGTGACATTGTGATCCACCCTGAGCTTGTACTGCTTTGCCTGCTCTGCTGATTTCACCCCACTTTGGCTATGGGGGTGTGTCAGAATATATTTGCTGTCTAGCCTACAGTGGGGTACTCTGTAATGAGTACAACCCAATTTAGGGCAATGTACTTGTATCCCAACTCTTGCTAGTCACTCCCCTTCCCTTCCAATTTCTCGACTCTCACCTAACCCACTCGAACTTACCTATCTCCTAGTGTGGGCCTAGGCTACTAAGCCTAGGCCCCACACCTAATATTTTCACATAAAGTTGTACTAGAAGAGCCGAGAGTTAACTAAATAGGCCATGACAAGGGCCTTGGTGCTCACCACTTGGGCCTTCTCAGGTGCTCTGTGCTCACCACTTGGGCCTTCTCAGGTGCTCTGTGCTCACCACTTGGGCCTTCTCAGGTGCTCTGTGCTCACCACTTGGGCCTTCTCAGGTGCTCTGTGCTCACCACTTGGGCCTTCTCATGTGCTCTGTGCTCACCACTTGGGCCTTCTCAGGTGCTCTGTGCTCACCACTTGGGCCTTCTCAGGTGCTCTGTGCTCACCACTTGGGCCTTCTCAGGTGCTCTGTGCTCACCACTTGGGCCTTCTCAGGTGCTCTGTGCTCACCACTTGGGCCTTCTTAGGTGCTCTGTGCTCACCACTTGGGCCTTCTCAGGTGCTCTGTGCTCACCACTTGGGCCTTCTCAGGTGCTCTGTGCTCATCACTTGGGCCTTCTCAGGTGCTCTGTGCTCACCACTTGGGCCTTCTCAGATGCTCTGTACTCACCACTTGGGCCTTCTCAGGTGCTCTGTGCTCACCACTTGGGCCTTCTCAGGTGCTCTGTGCTCACCACTTGGGCCTTCTCAGGTGCTCTGTGCTCACCACTTGGGCCTTCTCAGGTGCTCTGTGCTCACCACTTGGGCCTTCTCAGGTGCTCTGTGCTCACCACTTGGGCCTTCTCAGGTGCTCTGTGCTCACCACTTGGGCCTTCTCAGGTGCTCTGTGCTCACCACTTGGGCCTTCTCAGGTGCTCTGTGCTCACCACTTGGGCCTTCTCAGGTGCTCTGTGCTCACCACTTGGGCCTTCTCAGGTGCTCTGTGCTCACCACTTGGGCCTTCTCAGGTGCTCTGTGCTCACCACTTGGGCCTTCTCAGGTGCTCTGTGCTCACCACTTGGGCCTTCTCAGGTGCTCTGTGCTCACCACTTGGGCCTTCTCAGGTGCTCTGTACTCACCACTTGGGCCTTCTCAGGTGCTCTGTGCTCACCAATTGGGCCTTTTCAGGTGCTCTGTGCTCACCACTTGGGCCTTCTCAGGTGCTCTGTGCTCACCACTTGGGCCTTCTCAGGTGCTCTGTGCTCACCACTTGGGCCTTCTCAGGTGCTCTGTGCTCACCACTTGGGCCTTCTCAGGTGCTCTGTGCTCACCACTTGGGCCTTCTCAGGTGCTCTGTGCTCACCACTTGGGCCTTCTCAGGTGCTCTGTGCTCACCACTTGGGCCTTCTCAGGTGCCTTGTGCTCACCACTTGGGCCTTCTCAGGTGCTCTGTGCTCACCACTTGGGCCTTCTCAGGTGCTCTGTGCTCACCACTTGGGCCTTCTTAGTGGCAGGAGCAGAAGAGGCCTTGCCATCCAGCAGCATGGTGCTCGGTTCCCGTGACGCGCGGTCGATAACAAACACTAAGGCCCGCCAGCGATGCCTCGCTGCCTGGGCGAGGTCCACTGGGGGGGATGTCCTGCAGCGAGAGGATTTGACACGGGTGAGGGGAGGCAGGAAAGGTCACCAAGGATGGTCACTACTAGAATCGCATGACCACGCGCGTGACTCAGTCAGCCGGCTGCCCCACGGGGAAGGGGAGCGAGTGCGTGCTCGACAGACAGAGCTCGAGAGACAGAAAGAGAGTCATATACGTAACACACTCACCAAAAAGCTTCTTGGGCAGGGCGGGGGGCTTGATTGGAGAGCGCTGGTTGATGATGAAGCGCATGACCACGCCCGTGGGCCGTGAAGCAGTCAGCATTCATTCAACCCCACCAAACAGGGAGGAAACTTACCGACAGCTTGTTGGGCACGGCGGGGGGCTTGATTGGAGAGCGCTGGTTGATGATGAAGCGCATGACCACGCCCGTGAACCAGTCAGCAGGCTGCCCCACATGGAAGGGAATGGCGGCGCTGTTGACAAGAATGATGTCACGGCACGAGGCGGGCGCGGCGTTGAAGTCCAGAAGGAGGTCGTGCCGCGTGCCGGGGACGACGAGCAGAGAGGAGCGGCACAGCGGACGGACAAGGTAGCCGCCGTCCGAACCAATCTGGGCGGGTAGGGAGGTGGGGGTTGTTTTGAGTCAACTCAAAACACGTTGTCAGAACCAATCTGGGAGGGTGGGACGGTGGGGTGGGGGGAGAGGGACATGGGGCACCGGGGGAGGGAGGGGGAAAGGGAGGGGATGCATTACTCACGAGGTAGAAGGGCAGCACTGGTCCATGAAAGGGGGGTTGAAGTTGGGGTCATCACGTGCAGCGCACTGGAAGGTCAGGTTGTACGTTCGTGCGTTGGCTGCATTCACCATACGGATCCGGTGCATCGCTCGCCGAACCTTGAGGAACGGCCAAACCTGAGGGACAGTGGTGGACGAGTAACATAATGAGAAGGGTTGCGAGATTCACAGCAAAAACATTCACTAACTGCACAAGACAGAAGAGGAGGGAAAACACACACACACACACACACACACACACACACACACACACACACACAGAGGAAAAAAAAAAAAGAGTCGCCCCTTCATCTCACCTTGGCGTTTACAACATTTGTATCGCCAATGTAACCCGGTATCCAGTTCGGGTGGACATTCGGCACTAAGCCCTGCTTCGGATAATTGATGGATCCGTTCGGGAAAACGATCCTGTCAGCAATCACGAGGTGCAATAGGCGCTCGCCACGTGGCAGCCACCTCTTGAGCCGCCTCTCCTCGCCTTGAGGGTCGCGGATAACATAAAGCCCCGCCAATCCCGCGACCACATTCTATGCCGTCATTCCAATCGTGTGGTCGTGATACCACAGCATCGTCGCGCGTTGCATGTTCGGATATGTGTGCTCTTGGGATTCGAACTCGGGTCCGTGCTCACCACTCGCCGTGTACCATGCCAGAGGGTGACCGTCGGATGTGCTTGGTGTCTCCCCGCCATGCTTATGGACGGCTGCGGTAACATCAAAGTGAGCGAAGAGAGGTGGGGAATCGAAGAGAGCGAAGAGAGGTGGGGAATCGAAGCGAGCGAAGATGGAATTGAGGAGGGAATTAGAGGGGAAGAGGCTCCGAACGTTGGAGACACAGTGAACCGAAAGCCCAACGATCTTGACAGACTGATTGACGGCACTGAACCACTTGCAAGGAGAGTAAACAGCACAGGAGAAGTCAAAGGCAACCAGGTGAGCAGTGGACTTACTGATGGGCACACCGCCGTGCTTTAGCTTGGGCGCCATGAGGGTGGGGTCGATGGTGAACATGTGCGTCTTGTCCCTGATGTGATTCTCAAACTTCACCTGCTCGAGAATCGGGGTGGAATCAAATGCGGATCTAGGAATCGGGTAAGCAAGCGAGGAGGTTAGGACAAACGTGGGGCATGGTAGCAGGTGCAGCCGTGCATCCCTGAAGCTAGGAGGGCCGAGCGTCAGGAGGGTTGCTGTTCAGGAGCAGCGCATTCAAAGTGAGGCAACGGTGACTCTGTCTCACGGACTCACACATGAGATGACATGAAGCATAACGTTGTTACGCTATCTGGCAAGAGCTGACGGGGCCCGCTCACCCCGGAAGTGTGCCGCTCACCTTGGTGGTGGTGCCACATGTGGCGAGGAGCACGAGGCCCGGGTAGCGCGCCGAGCTGCGGGAGGCGCCAAACGCGTACACCTTGGTGTCAGGGAGGTCGCGGTGGAACTTCTGCTCGCTTGGGGTGTGCGGGGGGCGGGCGGAGGGAAAGAGGGAAATGGGGAAGAATTGAGAGGGGAAGAGGACCCTATGAGTTGCGGGAGGCGCCGTGCGCGTACACCTTGGTGCGGGCCGGTCGCAGTGGAACTTCTGCGCGGTTCAGTGGGTGGGGGGGGGGGGGGGTGGGAGGAAGGAAGGAACGGTGAGGGAGGCGGAGGGAGAGCGTGTGAGGGAGGGAGCGGGGTTGACGGTGGGAATGTGGGTCACGGCTTATGTGAGTCATCACTGATGGTAGTCAGCAATCACACTCGCCTGGTAAACGTCGTACGCGCCGAGTTTGATGGTCTCGCCGGCCGACGCGTCTACGAAGGTGAGCGGCAACGTGGCGAGGTCGTCGACGAACTTGCACAGCGGCTTCTGCGGAAACCGGTTCACGCACCGCGGCCCCGCCATTGGCTGCGCGCGCGCCGTCCGTACTGCCGGCGTGATCCTTGCCGAATTCGCCGCCGCGTTTCTGTCATTCATGCCGCCGAGGCCGCCGACGCTGAGAAGCGCCAAGATGACTGCGCAGAGGCGGCGCGCGAGGGTGATGGCGGGACGCATCTCAGCGGGTCGATTCCCGTCCGCGGTTCGCCACGAGCGCGTGCAGATTGGACGTGGATGCGCCGCGCGGCGCTTATATATGCGCAGCCGGTCGATTAGTGATAGGAATCGCACGCTCCCGCTGCTGCTATCAGAGAGTTAGTCACCCGCCCCCGAGGCAGATCGGCGGTGAAGGGTGGAAGAGACGGAATGGAATCCGGAACGCGCGTGGGACGAAAGGAGATGAGCGAGGAGGAACAGCCGGCCGTTCTCATATACGCTGGCCGCTCGTGGCACGAAAGGATAGCGTTCAGTGAGAGGGAATGAGGGTCGCCCGTTGCTGCCGCCTTCAGGGAACGAACGAACTTGACTCGGAGCCTCGACTCGGTAGGGGCTCCAGTGGGAGAGAGCGAGGAGAGCGGCGGAGAAAGGGGAGGAAACATCTGCCCCAGCTTGGGGGTTTCGTTTGGCGGGCAAGGGCTGGGCTGGAATTTAGGGGGACGGCTAGGATGCTGCGCCGTCGCGGCTCGGCACTGCGGAAGAGGGTCTGGGAGGACGGGCTCATCCCGAATTTACTTTTTGAGGCGAGGGTTGAATTCGGCAGGCTGCCACCGAAGTGACTATAGCGGGGATGAGCTGCGATTCGATGAGATGTGATGTGGGCGGACTTTTGGCCTGTACGTGTAATAGGTCTTCTCGAGTCTGGAGCCACCTAACTCGTGCGCGCGGAGGGAATCGCCGGGGGATTGTGGAGGCAACGCAAGCAAGGGTAGGTCCGCACTCTGCCCACCTTGCGCTTGGGAAGGCAAGGCATGTGACGGACGGGCATGGCCCCGTCTGCACTGTCTGTCTACCCGAAAGCTGGGGTGGTTGGGGGTCGTGGGGGGTGAGACGGGGGAAGGGGGGGAGGAACTGTGCTGGAGCTACAGTCGATGCTCAGCCTATCACAAAACATTTGCTCCGCACAATTAGAAATTTAGTCACTCGCGAACGTTTTGCCCGTGAGTGACTAAATTGACCATTGTGCCGATTTCGGGGTACAGTAACCAAGTTGAGGAAGAAAAACATCTACAGTACATAAACAACAACGGTTGCCCGTCATCAGAGAAGTTAACCTGGTTACAAAATTAAAGCCCTTAACTCGATTCACGTTGCAATTTCATGTTACTGTCACATTTTTGCCCGTGGCGACAAGGGCGAACGTGGCGAAATCGCCAAAACTCGTTTCACGCACATGCCACCCGCCTACCTGGTGTTTTCGAAATGGGCACCGACTGTAGTACCGTACACGACGGGGAGAAGCAACTCCTGTCCTGTCTCTCTGGCTCCATGCTCTCAAAAGCGGCTGCGCGCTACAATCTCAGAGTGGGAAGGAAACTTTCTGAAACATACAGTACCGTCCTTTTCCAATCCATCGTGGCAAGACGCAGGCCACACCTTTGATCGGCTCTAACTATAACCATCCAATGCGCGTAGTCAAGCGGGCCCAGGATCAGACGAAGATTCTGTGAGCTGAGTCGAAGAAGCTGCCCAGACGCACTGTAGCAAAGTCCGCAGTTGTCGGAAAGATTGACGTTCGAGTGACGAATGACGATGCATGCGCGGCAGTGCGACCTCCCTCCCTGGTCGCATCACCACACCACAAAATACACGTGTGCTTCAACCGCCTCAACTCCAGCCCAACAAATTCCAACCAGATACACAGGATGCCCATTAGACGCGCATAAACCATATTGCTCTAAAGAGTATGTAGAGAGCCCGTGGTTTAGCTCCTCGCTAACTTCGCCACGGAAAAAAAGGGGACTATAATAGGACCTTTTGTACTATCTTACTAAGTGTAAGGAAAAATCATTTTCCTTACTTCGCGTCCCTGCTCAGCGCGCCACTACTGTTCCCGCCAACAGCACCCAACAGTAAACCGTTACCACTCGCGATATTCGCCTCGACACTGTTCCCGCCACTGTTCGCGACACGACCCAACCTCACGATTCGGTTGGCAACCCGTGTCAGTAGAGCTACACTATGAGATCCCCGATCGATCCTAGGGGGGGTTACAGGCGCATTTGCCTGGGGGGTTATGGGCGCACTGACCCGCTACTGAAACAAGCCCTTTTATCACAATGGTCTAGTGGTTGGGATTCTGACATGGTATCAGAGCGGTCTTGGGTTCGAATCCCGGTGTATGCACATGTTGGCCATTGCCACCGTGCTTAGTCCTGGGCCTCCCACTGTGGGGGGGTGTTAGTAGAGCTACACTGTGAGATCCCCGATCGATCCTAGGGGGGGTTACAGGCGCGTTTGCCTGGGGGGTTATGGGCGCACTGACCCGCTACTGAAACAAGCCCTTTTATCCCAATGGTCTAGTGGTTGGGATTCTGACAACCCGCGCTCCGGACCTCCGCCTCGGCATTTCCCAACCTCGGCGCCAGGCCCGTCGCGCACCCCATTTTCACGCATTACTGTTACCACTGTAGTTTCGCTATATATTCTTCGCTCATGCATTCGCTCATTGTAATTTTGCTTCAATAGTGCAATTCTCGCTCGCTCACTCAGTTGCACTCATAACACTTGGTATCAGAGCCTACGATCTCTTCTCGAACTGCACCCACACCTTCGCTTCCCCACTATCTCAATTTTTTTGGGGGGGTAGACGTCTCTCAGTGAAACAACACCGCTGCTCATAGTGCTCTCTCGTAAGCACGCACGGCCACGACAGAGGCTCTCGCAGAGCTTGCCCGACACCCCCGCCATGGCTGAATTCACTCTCGCGACACTGACGCAGGAGCAACTCAACCGTCTCGTGCGCCAAGTCGAAGAATCAGCGCTCGAAATTGCGACACTCACGGCGGAACGTGACTCCGCGCGTCAGCAATCCACGATGAATACTCAAGCGCCGCCATACTCAATACCAATGCGTGCTACGGCGACACTGACGTGAAGCAGCAGGTGCCAAGCCCTCTTACATGGCTGGTGCGGTGACCGGCGTGCTATGCGTTGTGTGCACACCGACGGGCTATCCTTCAAGTAGTTCTGCCGCGTGGGTTGGGAGGGGCCCAATCGTGAACGTGGTAGGGGGGTGTCAACGGGAGTTGTAGTTGGCCCATTCTCGCTTGGGCAGAGCCTACTTTGTGGTCGGGTGTGCGGGGGTTGCAGCCAACTTGCAGCAGTGGGCGAGCTGGTTGATAGGGCTGGTCGTGCACGGAAGCCACTGTAAGGGCGCCGACTTCGAGAGGGCGCCAACTTCGGGAAGGTCGACTTGGGTTGTCGACCTATGGAGGGCGTCGACTTGGTGACGTCGACTTAAGGAAGCCGATCTGTTGTGGTCGACTGGAGGTGGTCGTCATCTTGGGAGGTCGACGGGCACAAGGAGGCGCTGGTCAACGAGGTGGTTGCCCGGTCGACCCGGTTACCCGGGGGACGGGCTTCTGCGAAGGCACGCGACGATCGCCCAGGTGTTCGTGGCGAGGCCGACCTCGGTGTGGTATCTCGAGGTCGACGTGGCTGGTGGGCGCAGTCGCTGGCTTGATTTCTACCAGGCATCTGCGCTGCACTCGTGACAAGGCTTGGAGCACCAACTAGCCGCGTGCACCTGCGAAGCGGGTGCAACGTTGTCCTGCGGGTGCAACGCTGTGCAGCCGACCTGCTGCAGCGTTGGCGCACCACAGACTTGCAACGTTGGCGAGCCGCATCTATGTACAGTTGGAGCGCGGTCGACCAAGTCGTGCTAGCACGCGATCGACCGTGCTGCGCTGGCAGTCGACCAGCAGCTGTGCTAGCCCTGATGTAGTCTTGCATGCCAATGTTGTTGCTACCATTGTTGTGAACTTCTGCTAGTGAAACGCTTGCCAAATTCCCTGTGAACCAGCAAGTAGTGCGAGCACAAGCAAACGACTAAGGAACGAACACAGCGATCACTCTAGCCCCATGCCTAGCCCGTAATCTAGCTCCCGTTGATGTAGTTATCTCCGCATGACGCACCTGACGGGGCTGGACCAGGGGGGGAGGGCTGTACCTGAGGAGCCGGAGGGGGAGTGGGAGTGAGGAAGAGAGGGAGAGGAGTGTCAAGTTACAAAAGTAACTTGACAGCTAGAACCGGCGACAGATGATGCCCGAGTCGACCGCCACGAAACAGCACCTGCTCCGAGGCTAAAGGAGTACCCCTGTGGAGACCGGCGCGTCTCCGCGTCGTCGGCCCACGATGAGTCTGAGTAACCTGTGAGTGTAACTGGCTGCTTCCCTCCAAGGACAAGTCCCATGCCTGATGTACTCGCCACATACTTCGCCACCCACTTAGCCGCGTACCAGTGGGAAGGTCGGTGTGTCTCCCAGGCGCAACAAAATGCGCAAGGACGCTAAGAGGGTAAGCTAGGTCTGGGCGAGTGCGGGTCATCAGGTACATGAGACAACCCACCAGCTCAGGATATGGACCGCTGGACTCAAATGGCTCGTCCGAAGGTGGAGCCGTGAGCCCATGATCCACACCAAGAGGGGTGAGCTGTACCTTGGAGAACGGGAAGCGAAACCGCGTGAGGATCTGCTCGACCATATGCGACTGCGTCAGCGTAATGGTGGGAGCTGCCCTGTCCCTGGTGATCTGCAGGCCAAGGTAGTGCTGTAGCTCACCAAGGTCAATGCAAGCGTGTCTCCTCTGCAGTTCCTCCTTCACGGAGGCCAGCGCGCGTCGGTCAAGAGTGGCAAACACCAGGTCGTCGACGTAGACCAGGACAAAGAACGGGGTCGAGCCACGGCGAACAAACAGTGACGGGTGAGCAGACGACGGAAAGAAGTCAAGAGCTGCAAGGGTCGAGCGAAGTGTGTCATGCCACTCACGTGGAGCCTGACGCAGGCTGTAGACTAGTCGACGCAGCTACCACTGGGTCCCAGGTGGGAAAGAGCCAGTGAAGCCAGGCGGGCGATGCAGCCAGATCTGCTCGTGCAGGCTCCCCTGAAGGAACGCGGTGGAAAATTCCAAGGAGTGCAACTCGTAGTTGTGCCCGGCTGCAATGTGCAGCAACACCCGA